GCGGATCACCCGGGACAGAGCACGGCGCACCATCACCTTGACTCAGTCACACATGGTGCAGCAGATCCTTCAGCGCTTCCGCTTCACGTACTCCTCGCCTCAGTCCACTCCTCTGCCTACCGGTCACTCGCTCTCAGCTCTGCCTTCGGATGAGTCCGTAGAGCCGAGTGGCCCGTATCCAGAGCTTGTGGGCTGCCTCATGTACCTGATGACCTGCACTCGACCTGACCTGGCATACCCTCTTAGCATCCTTGCACGCTATGTCGCTCCTGGCCGTCACAGGAAGGAGCACATGGATGCCGCTAAGAGGGTGTTGCGCTACTTGTGCAGTACGTCGGGCATGGGGCTAGTGCTTGGAGGGCGAGACCGAGTTGTGCTCACAGGACACTCAGACGCTTCTTGGGCGGACGACCAGGCTACTCAGCGGTCGTCTCAGGGTTACACCTTCAGCCTTGGCTCTGGTTCAGTTTCTTGGCGTTCTACATGCTCTTCTTCTGTTCTCAGCTCCAGTTGTGAGGCTGAGATCTACGCCACAGCCATGGCTGCCCAGGAGCTACGCTGGCTGACCTACCTGCTGACCGACCTGGGAGAGCGGCCTCGTTCTCCTCCAGTGCTGTACGTCGACAACAAGGCTGCCATTGCCTTGTGTGAGGAGCACAGACTGGAGCACAGAACGAAGCACATTGCCCTGCGGTACTTCCTTGCTCGAGAGCTGCAGCAGCGCGGTCAGCTCTGTCTGCGTTACGTGGCCACTGAGGCCAACACTGCTGATGTGTTCACCAAGGCGCTTCAGCCTTGTGACCATCAGCGCTTTTGCACTCTACTAGGCCTTGTGCCTACTGGACCTCACTTGCTTACTTCTTGACCTTGTTTGTATTGTGATTACTATATATATATATACCTGCATGTTTACTCTTGCTAGGTTGTGATCACTGTATCTCATGCTCTGTTATAAACCTGCATGTGAACTGGTCTTGTGACCACTTGCTTGTGCTCGGAATTTGTGTGGAATCCTTGAGATCCACCCTGAGCTTGTTGTGTCTTGCTTTGCTTTGACTGGTCTTGTGACCCCTAGTTCTCCCCCACTTTGCCTATGGGGGTGTGTCGAACATTATATATGTTGTGCTTGTTAGGCTACAGTGGGTTAGCCTATATGGGGTACACAATTCTAGGGTTTGCTATTTGTACTGATTTCCCTATATGGGGTACACAATTCTGACAGTATCCCGTGCAGGCGAACAACGGCTGCGATGAACAGGCGAGCGGTTTCCTCGGCTGAGATCGACTTCTTGCACGCAGCGAAGTGTGCCATCTTCGTCAACCTGTCTACGACGACCATCACCGCGTCGTTACCCCCGGGGCTCGAAGGTAACCCCGTGACGAAGTCCATGGTAACCTGCTGCCAGGCTCGCTCGGGCGGTGGTATCGGCTGCAACTGACCCGCCTTCCGCTTCCTCGAGCTTTTCATCACCTGACACGTGGGGCACGAGCCCACGTGCTGCTGCACGTCGGTCAACAGCTCCGGCCAGTAGTAATACCGCTGCAGTTGCTGTCGCGTTTTTTCTACCCCAAAATGTCCCGAGGTAATCCCGTCGTGTGCCTCCTGCAGTAGCAGCTCCCTCAGTAGTGAGTACGCGGGTACCCAAATGCGGTTGGTGCCTGTCTTTACGTAATACACTCCCTTAGCTTCTGCCATTTGCCGTGAATTTCCGGTCGTGAAAAATGGGTCGGTGCGGTATCCGTGGGTGAATAGGCCTGTTAAAAGCGGGTTGGTCTGGGCGAGTAGGATGGCATGGAGTTGGGCGGTAGGGCGGGTGAGTGCGTCGGCGATATTCGATGCGCCTTTTTTGTACGTAACCGTGTAGTGGAAGTTGGACTCGAGGTAGTCCAACCAGCGGATCTGTCGCGGATTGAGATTCGGTTGGGCGCGCAGGTACTGTAGTGATCGGTGGTCTGTCCGTACTGTCACGTCGGCGCCAGTCAGGTAACACCGCCAAACCTTGAACGCGTGCACGATCGCCAGCATCTCGCGGTCGTGTATCGGGTAGTTGCGTTCGGGCGGGTGCAGCTTGCGGGACTCGTACGCGATTGGCTGGAGGCCGTTCCCGAAATCCTGCAACAGTACTGCTCCCACAGCGATGTCACTTGCGTCGGTGACGAGCTCGAACGGTCGGTGCGGATCTGCGATGTGAAGCACGGGCGGCGAGCACAAAATTTTCTTGAGGGCCGAGAAGGCAGCTTGCTCTTTCTCCCCCCACGTGTACTCAACCCCTTTCCTCTGCAAGTCGGTCAGCGGGGCGGTCAGCTTCGCCATGTCGGGGACGAACCGACGCACGTAGTTGACGAACCCCAAAAAACTCTGCAGCTCAGTCAGATTCGTTGGCGCGTGCCAAGCCTGAATCGTCGCGATCTTCTTCGGGTCTATTTCCACTCCGTCAGCTGAAATAATGTGGCCTAAAAACTCCAGTCTGTCCTGTAGAAACTCACACTTAGACGCTTTTGTCAGTAGGCGGTTCTCACTCAGTATTTTAAAAACTGCTTCGATGTCCTGTAGGTGCTGTGCTCTGTCGGGGCTGTAAATCAGGATGTCGTCGAGATAAACGATGATGCACTTATCTAAAAGTGGGCGGAAAGCCTCGTTCATCGTCATCTGAAAAGTGGCGGGGGCGTTGGTCAGTCCGAAGGGCATGACGGTGTATTCGAAGGATCCGTAGCGGGTGCGGAATGCAGTCTTAGGGCAGTCGGGCGGATTGACGCGAATCTGGTGGTAACCCCCTCTAAGGTCGATTTTCGAGAAAACCCGGGCTGTGCGCAGTTGATCGATCAGTTCGTCGGCTCGTGGGATGGGGTAACGTGACTTGATGGTAACCCTGTTCAGTGCTCTGTAGTCGATGCACATGCGAAACCCTCCGTCTTTCTTCGGCGTGAACAGTATGGGTGCGGCGAAGGGCGACGAACTAGGGCGAATGAACTCCTTCTCGAGCAGGTAATCGAGCTGCTTCCTCAGTTCGTCCAGTTCGGGTTGGGTCAGTCGGAACTGTCGCTGTACTGTCGGCTGTGCTCCCGGTTCTAGCTCTATCCTGTGGTCGTGCGGTCGCTGAGGTGGCAGTCCCGTCGGCAGGTCATCTGGGAAAATCCCGTTGTACCGCTTCAGGAGTGCTGCCAAGTCATCCGGTACGTCGGCAAGCAGTTTCTGTAAATCCCCTCCCCGGTTTGCTGCTTCGGCTTCCCGAATGTCAACCGCATACACGTCAGCTCCTGCCGCTACGGCGCGCTTCATTGTGATCGCGTTGACACGCACCGACGAAGACTCAGGCGAGCCCCAGCGAGGTAAGGCGATGTTTTTACCGTTCACTCACACGATGCAGTCACCCGTCGTCCAGTCGATTCGCGGGTTGTGTCGTCGCAACCAATCCCGACCGAGTAAAATGTCGGTTCCGTCGAGGGTTGTCGCGAGCATTTCCTGGCTAAACGTGAAGTTACCCCCGCATCGAATCCGAACCCGGTCTACGCGTTCCCGTATCGCCAGTGGCGTGCCGTCAACCAGTCTTGCGTCGATCTCAGGTAAGCATTTGTCCAGTGGCAGTTTCAGCTTCCGTGCCGTGGCAGTGTTGATGAGGCTGTGGCTGGCTCCCCCGTCTACGAAGATTTTGACTAAGTCCGTCCCTATGGGACAAGTGTGGTCGACTGCGTGAACCGGCACAATCACTCGGTGAGGGTCGGTTGGGTTGGGCAAGCGGCGTGACCTGTCAGTAGAGGGCCCGTCTGCTACTGACTCCCAGCGTTTCCCTGCTGCTTGGTCTGTTTCTGCTGCTCAGCTTCCCCCTTTCCCTTAGCGTTTTCCGGGCATTCGCTCTTGCGGTGTCCCGGCCGATTGCACGCGAAGCAGCGCCCTTTGAACGGTGTGTTAAACTGTATTATGCTTGTAGGCTGTAGTGGGGTAGCCAATATGGGGTACAACCCCAACTAGGGTTTCATATTTGTACCCAAACTTCTGCTAGTTCATTCATTCTTGCCTAGTTATTCTGAGATGGTATTCAGAGCAGGAGGTCCCTAGGACCTACCGACCGTTTTTTTTTTTTTTAAGGGCCCACCACCGCTCGCATGCGGTTACCACGCTACCCCGTGCCCTAGCCTCGTAGCGCCCTCGTGCGCCCTCGTTAGCGCCCTCGCGCGCCCCTCGTTAGCGCCCTCGTGCGCCCCTCGTTAGCGCCCTCGCGCACCCTCGTTAGCGCCCTCGCGCGCCCCTCGTTAGCGCCCTCGCGCGCCCCTTGCTAGCGCCCTCGCGCGCCCCTCGCTAGCGCCCTCGCGCGCCCCTCGCAGCGTCGCCCGCCCGCCGAGCCGCCCGCTCGCAGCGTCGCCCGCCCCCCCCACGCTGCCCGCTCGCCCCTCGCCCGCCGCGCTGCCTGCTCGCAGCGTCGCCCGCTCGCCCCGCTGCCCGCTTCGCAGCCCGCTCGCCCCGCTGCCCGCTTCGCAGCCCGCCCGCCCGCTCGCTGCCCGCTTCGCGGCCCGCCCGCTTCGCTGCCCGCTCGCAGCGCCGCCCGCCCGCCCGCTACCTGCTTCGCAGCGTCGCCCGCCCGCTTGCTGCCCGCTCGCAGCGTCGCCCGCCCGCCCGCTGCCCGCTTCGCAGCGTCGCCCGCTCGCTCGCTGCCCGCTCGCAGCGTCGCCCGCCCGCCCGCTGCCCGCTCGCAGCGTCGCCCTCCCGCCTCGCTGCCCGCTTGCAGCGTCGCCCGCCCGCCCGCTGCCCGCTTGCAGCGTCGCCCGCCCGCCCGCTGCCCGCTTCGCAGCCGCCCGCCGCGCTGCCCGCTCGCCGCGTCGCCCGCCCGCCCCGCTGCCCGCTTCGCAGCCCGCCCGCCGCACTTCCCGCCTGCAGCGCCGCCCGCCTCGCCTGCTGCTCCCTGCCTGTGCACCGCCGCTTGCTCCTGCTGTGGCTGCTAGCTTCGCTCTAGCGCGTCCCCTCTGCTGCTGCCGCTGCTCTGCTGTGCCCTCACGCCTGAGCTATGGCCTCTATTCGCGTTCTTTCCTTCGATGCTGAGGGCCGTCCCGTGCAGTTCACTTCCTGGCTCGACGACCTGCAGTTGTATCTTATGAGCAATAGCACGGACCACATCTCCCTCTATGACTACGCGTCTGGTGCTGCCGCTGCTCCTGCTGCCACAGCCGAGCTTAGTGTACGTTCACAGTGGCAGACTCGTGACGCTGCAGCTCGCCTGGCTATTCGCAGTCACCTGCCGTTAGCTGAGCTAGAGCACTTTGGCGACTGCAAAACCGCTAAAGCCCTATACGACGCTGTCGTTGCTCGCTACTCCTCACCTGCCACAGCCGAGCTTAGCCGTCTCATGCTGCCTTACCTGTTCCCTGACCTGTCCACCTTTGCTACAGTCGCCGATCTTATCACCCACCTTCGCACTAGTGATGCTCGCCTGCGTGCCGCCCTTCCCACCGAGTTCTGCGCTAAGAACCCCCCTCCCCTGTACTGGGCACTCCACTTCATAGTCACCCGTCTCCCTGACACCCTCAGCTCAGTGCGCGACTATTTCCTTGCTCGCTGTCCCACTGAGCTCACTGTCGCCCTCCTAGAGGAGAAGCTGCTAGCAGCCGAGAAGAGCATTGTAGCTGTTGGTGCTGCTCGCGGCGCTCCTCGCACCCCCATCTTTGAGGGGTGCTCTCCCTCTCCCCTCGCTCCCTCCTATGCTACTGCTGCTGCTGTTGACTTCCTTGGTGCTGAGTCTGCTGGCGCTGCTTCTGCTCCTGGTGGGAGGCGCCGCACCGGCAAGGGCAAGGGGGGCAAGGGTGGCGGGGGTGGCGCTGGGGGGGGAGGGGGTGGGGGAGGTGGGGGGGGAGGCGGTGCTGGAGGGAGCGGTGGCGGGAGTGCCGGTGGGAGTGGGGCCGGCGGCGGAGGCGGGGGCGGCGGCGGGAGCAGTGGCGGTGGTGGCAGCGGCGGCAGTGGCGGCGGTGGCGGTAGTGGCGGTGGCGGTGGCGGTGGTGGCGGTCGGAGCGGAGGTAGTGGCGGCGGTGGAGGTCGGAGTGGAGGCACCGGCTCGGGCCAGAGCTCCCAGCAGCAGCAGCGTCCCCAGTCGACCCAGCAGCTTCGTGAGTGGCTTGCTCAGCGTGGGACGTCGGGGGGCAGTGGCCGCTGTTCCTATGTCATTCGCACAGGTGATCGCAAGGGGCAGACGTGTGGAAAGTTCCACACTCAGTACCGCTGCTTCTTCCGCCTTGACGACGCCTGGCGTGAGGAGATGGGCGAGGATGTTGAGCGCCCTCGCTGGGCTGAGCTGATGAGGGCTGGTGTTGATATCTTTGCTCTTGACTATGATGCTATTATTGCTGCCATGTATGCATTGACTGTTAGTGCCGAGGGAGACTGTTACTTGTGTGTGCCGCCTGACCCAGGTATAGGGCCCGCTGCCCTAGGTACTAGTGAGTCTGCTCTCTCTGGTATGGTGCCCCCTGTACCTGCTCCCTCCAGCACTGTCCCTGCTGCTTGCGAGTCTGCTCTCTCAGGTACAGCACCCACAGAGACTGCTCTCTCAGGTACCGCACCGGCTGAGGCCTGTCACACCTTCACTCTTGACTCAGGTGCTTCCCGTTGTTTCTTTCGTGACAGTACTGAGCTCACACCGCTTCCTGCACCGGTCCCAGTCTCCTTGGCTGACCCCTCTGGGGGCCCAGTCCTTGCCCAGTCCACCACTGTACTCCCTTGTCCGGCGGTTCCGTCTGGCTCGTTGTCGGGTTTCCACCTCCCCTCGTTCTCGACGAACCTGGTGAGCAACGCTGTCATCCAGGATCAGTGGGTTGACACCTTTACCCCTGGAGGACAGCGTGTGGCGATCTGCACGTGCTCCAGGACCGGCCGTCACCTGGCTACGTTTACCCGTCGGCCGGGGTCGAGTCTCTACACACTGACCACTGCGTCTCCTCAGGTCGCTGCTGTCGGTCAGGTGTCTGCGTCAGGTCTGGTAGCCCACGCCTGTGAGTGTCGTTCCCTGTCGCACCAGACTCTTCTCTGGCACCACCGCCTGGGTCACCCCTCCTTGCCACGCCTCCGTGGCATGCACCGTCGCCGCCTTGTGTCTGGTCTTCCCAGGTCCCTCCCTCCCCTCCCTTCCTCGCCTGCGCCACCTTGCCTTCCTTGCGTCGAGGGGCGGCAGCGCGCCGCTCCTCACTCCTCCTCGTTCCCCCCGACAGGGGCTCCTCTGCAGACCCTCCACCTGGACGTGTGGGGCCCAGCCCGCGTTCGTGGCCAGGGCGGTGAGCGGTACTTTTTGCTGGTTGTCGACGACTACTCGCGTTACACCACGGTCTTCCCCTTGCGCACCAAGGGTGAGGTCCCTGCTGTTCTGATCCCTTGGATCCGCACAGTTCGTCTCCAGCTCCGCCGCCGTTTCCGGACGGATCTTCCTGTCCTGCGTCTGCACTCTGACAGAGGTGGTGAGTTTTCCTCCGACCTCTTGAGGACCTTCTGTCAGGCGGAGGGCATCGAGCAGACCTTCACGCTTCCGGACTCCCCACAGCAGAATGGGGTTGCTGAGCGCCGCATTGGCCTGGTCATGGAGGTCGCTCGTACCTCCTTGGTCCACGCGGCGGCTCCCCATTTTCTGTGGCCGTTTGCTGTCCGGTACGCCGCGCATCAGCTCAACCTCTGGCCCCGTGTCTCCTTGCCGGAGACCTCGCCCACACTGCGTTGGACGGGGGAGGTTGGCGATGCGTCGCGCTTCCGGGTGTGGGGTGCTCGTGCCCTTGTCCGCGATACGTCCGCGGACAAGCTCTCCTCCCGCACGCTTCCCTGTGTCTTCCTTGGCTTTGTCCCTGACGCGCCGGGCTGGCAGTTTTACCACCCCACCTCGCGCCGGGTCTTCGCCTCTCAGGACGTCACCTTTGACGAGTCGGTCCCTTTTTACCGTCTCTTCCCCTACCGTACTGCCCCCCTCCCTCCCCCGCCGCTTTTCCTTGCTCCTGGTCCCCCTCCGGTAGACCCCCTTCCCCCTCAGGGTCCTGCTCCTTCAGGTGTCTCTCAGGTAGACCCTCCTCCCGTCGCTGAGCCTGTCGAGGTCACAGGTGACTCAGGTGCTGCTGCAGGTGGTGCTGCTGGGAGTGCTGAGCCTGCGGGTGCTGGGCCTGGGGGTGCTGGGACTACGGGTGCTGGAGCTGAGGGTACTGTGCCTGAGAGTTCGGCGCCTGGGGGTGCTGAGCCTGGGGGTGCTGCGACTGGGGGTCCTGAGCCGGCGAGGGCGGAGTCTGGGGGTGCTGAGTCTGGGGGTGCTGCGCCTGCGGGTACTGAGCCTGGGGGTGCTGCTACTGAGCCTACGGAGCCTCGGGTTGCTGTGTCTGGGGGTGCTCCGGTTCGGGGTGCTGAGCAGTCTCTCACACCACAGCAGCTTCGTGACTGGTACGTCCGGCGCTTTCGCCATCCTAGTGGCTCAGCTGGAGGTACTGGGGGTACTGGAGCTACCGGGACTGGTTGTTCTGGGAGCACTACGACTGGAGCTGCTGGAGCTGGGGACTCTGGAGCTGGCGGCGCTAGCGGAGTTGTAGCTGCCGACTCTGGGGGTGCTCTTCCTTGCGGTGCTGCGGACCCTGGGGGTGGTGCTGCTGCTGGTGCTGCGGACCCACCTGGTGGAGCTGCTGCTGGAGCTGAGGACCCGAGCGGTGGCGCTGCTGCTGGTGCTGGGGACCCGGACGCTGGAGTCTCTTCTGCTTCTGGAGACGCTGCGCGGCCGCGGCCGTACTTCGTACCGCTCCTTCAGCAGGTTCTTGGGCAGGCTCCTCCTCCTTGTCCTCCTCCCTCCGTAGAGTGTCCTCCGACTGTCCAGCCGCAGTCACAGTTACCGCCTGCCTCGCCTCTCCCTGCTCCCTCTCCTTACACTGGTCCCACAGGAGGTCTTACAGAGCGTCGTGAGCCTGAGTCTCGTCCTGCGTCGCCTGTCCGTACTGCTCGCACTGGTCGTCGTGTCCGTCGTGAGCGTCCTCCTCCTGTCCCAGGCACTCACTACATGACTCTGCGTCCCTCTACTGCTCCTCAGCGTGTCCCTCTGCCGTCTCCTCCTGCGTCCTCTTTGCCTGCTGTTCCGGACCCTGAGTCTGACCGGTATCGTGCTGAGCACCCTACTGTCACGCGTCTCCTAGCTACTGTTGTCACTGACCCTACCTTTGAGTCCTCGGCTGCGTCTGCTCTGGTCGCTGAGTTGGTTGACTTTGCTGCTGCCTGTCGTCTAGACTACGCTGCTCGCCTTGTTGCTGGGTCTGAGTCTGCGTCTGTCTGTCCTCCGTCCGTCGGGGGTGAGTGTGCTCTTGGCACGGACGTCCTTGAGGACAGGCAGGAGGACTTTGACTCTCTCGCGGCTGCTGTACCTCATCTCGTGGCCTGGTTGCTTGCCCCTGAGGGAGACCCGGATGCACTAGACATCCCCACTCCGCGCACTTACGCAGAGGCGATCTCGGGTCCCTACTCCTCTCAGTGGCAGACAGCCATGGACGCAGAGATGGCATCCTGGAAGTCCACAGGCACCTACGTCGACGAGGTTCCCCCTCCTGGGGCGAACATCGTCGATGGCATGTGGATTTTCAGGGTGAAGCGGCCGCCAGGTTCTCCGCCTGTCTTCAAGGCTCGTTACGTTGCTAGAGGCTTCAGTCAGCGTCAGGGGGTCGACTTCTTCCAGACCTTCTCCCCCACCCCGAAGATGACCACTCTTCGGGTTCTGCTGCACGTTGCTGCTCAGCGTGACTACGAGCTTCACTCTCTTGACTTCAGCACAGCGTTCCTGCAGGGCAGCCTGCACGAGGAGATCTGGCTGCGCCGCCCACCTGGCTTTACTGGGTCGTTTCCTCCTGGTACCCAGTGGAGCCTCCGCCGGCCAGTCTACGGTCTCCGCCAGGCGCCACGCGAGTGGCACGACACACTGAGGACTACACTTGCGGCTCTTGGGTTCGCGCCGTCTACTGCTGACCCGTCGCTGTTTCTGCGCACAGACACGTCGCTGCCGCCGTTCTACATTCTCGTGTACGTCGACGACTTGGTCTTTGCTACTGCTGACACTGAGGCACTCGCTCGTGTGAAGTCGGAGCTGCAGAAGAGACACACCTGCACTGACCTGGGTGAGCTGCGTAGCTACCTTGGCTTGCAGATCACCCGGGACAGAGCTCGCCGCACCATCACCCTGACTCAGTCACACATGGTGCAGCAGGTCCTTCAGCGCTTCGGCTTCCAGTTCTCCTCACCACAGGCCACACCTCTGGCTACCAGCCACTCGCTCTCAGCTCCACCTCCGGACGAGTCCGTAGAGCCGAGTGGCCCGTACCCAGAGCTTGTGGGCTGCCTCATGTACCTGATGACTTGCACGCGACCTGACCTCGCGTACCCTCTTAGCATCCTTGCTCGTTACGTTGCGCCTGGGAGACACAGGCGAGAGCACTGGGAGGCTGCTAAGAGGGTGCTGCGCTACTTGTGCAGTACATCAGGCATGGGGCTGGTGCTTGGAGGACGCGACAGAGTTGTCCTCACTGGCCACTCGGACGCTTCTTGGGTGGACGACCTGGCTACGCAGCGGTCGTCACAGGGTTACACCTTCAGCCTTGGCTCTGGTTCTGTCTCGTGGCGGTCCACCCGCTCTTCCTCTGTTCTCGGCTCTAGTTGTGAGGCTGAGATCTACGCCACAGCCATGGCTGCACAGGAGTTACGCTGGCTCACCTACCTGCTGACTGACTTGGGAGAGCGGCCTAGTTCTCCTCCAGTTCTGTACGGTGACAACAAGGCGGCTCTTGCCTTGTGTCAGGAGCACAGACTGGAGCACAGGACGAAGCACATTGCTCTTCGCTACTTTCTTGCTCGAGAGCTTCAGCAGCGCGGTCAGCTTCGGCTTGTGTACGTGGACTCGAAGGCCAACACTGCTGATATCTTCACCAAGGCGCTCCCGCCTAGTGATCATCAGCGGCACTGTACTTCTTTAGGCCTTGTGTCCACGTTTCCTCACTTGCTCACTGCTTGACATTCTTTGTACTGTACTTTATATATATCTTGTTGCTTGCTTGCTAGGTTTTGATCACTGTGTTGCTTGTCTTGTACTATATCTAGCACTGCATGTGAACTGGCCTTGTGGCCTTTACTTGTGCTCGGAGTGTGGTGACATTGTGATCCACCCTGGGCTTTGCTTTGCTTTGCTGGACTGGTCTTGTGACCCTTTGTTCTCCCCCACCTTGCCTATGGGGGTGTGTTAAACTGTATTATGCTTGTAGGCTGTAGTGGGGTAGCCAATATGGGGTACAACCCCAACTAGGGTTTCATATTTGTACCCAAACTTCTGCTAGTTCATTCATTCTTGCTTAGTTATTCTGAGACGGTGCGGCAGCGGCATTCGCGGCGACGGCACGTATCGTAGCGCCCTCGTTCGTCCCACGAGACCGATGTCCCCAGTTGCTGCTACTGCCGTAGGACCCCGGTCTCGGTCGGCGGAAGAAGTCGAGCTTCTCCGCCATAGCGAGAATCTCCTGAAAGTCGGTGACGCCGCGAAGCTGGATTTCCTGAGCGATGTCGTGCTTCAGGCCGCCGATGTAGCGGTCGACGCGCTCGCTCTCGTGCATGTATCCCACTTGCTCGCATAGCGCCAGAAACCCGCTGGTGTAGTCCTGGACGGAACCGAGTTGGCGCCAAGTGCGGAGCTTCTGTCGCGCCGCGATCGAAGCCGCAATTGGCTCAAATCGAGCGCGCAGACCTGCGCACCACGCGTCCCACGTGCGATATTGGGGCACCTCCACGAAATACGACGGCGCCCAGGGTCCGGTTTGTCCTTCCCGTGTCGGTAGAGTCGCGTAGTCGTTCGGCTTCGTGACGATGACGCGCCACCAATCCATGGCGGGTCCTCGCAGCAGCGACACGGCGTAGCGAATTTTCGCCGTATCCTCCGAGACGTAGTTGGCGTCGAAAAACACGTTCATCGTGAACAACCACGCCTGAACGGTAGGACCACCCCGTTGACTCGGGTCAAAGCATGGCGGGCGTTGCGGCTTCAACGGCATCGGTGACGGCAGCTCCGAATCGTGAGTCGGTGCCGAAATCGTGACGCGGGGCCGGTTTGGGGCCGCATTCGTCGCCTCGGGGTGTGTCGTGCCGTGGTCGCCGTCTCCGTCGGGGCGGACGACGCCATCACCAGCCGCGCTCGCGGGTTGCCCCACACTTCCGTGTTGCGATGTCGAGGGTGCGGGCTGCTCCGGAGTGCCAGGTGCTTAGGATTGTGCTCTCGTGAGGTCGTTTTGCAGGGAAGAGCATTCTGCCGTCAGCGCTGCGATTTCTTCGGAACTTTCGCGAAGTTGCTGCAGCAGTTCGTTCAGACGCTCCTGCGTGAGAGTGGTGACGTCGATGTGTTCGGCCATGGCGAAGGGCGTCGGCTCAGCTTAGTCTAGGCGCAGTCGTGGCTGCACGCGTTTACGAGAGAACGCGAGGACAGCGGCTCCTAGGGGCTAAGGTGCGTGCGTCCCTTCGAGTGAAAAATCAAAAGTTGATTTCCTGGGGTGCGGAGATGCGCGGTCCGAAAAAGGAAAGTGGCTCTGAATACCAAGTGTTACGGGTGCAATGGATCGAGGTAGCGAGGATTGCACTAGAGTGTCAAACGAGTACAAAGATGTGAGCGAAGGCATGAGCGAACATTTGTATGCGAACATGCAAACGGTAACGCGGTGCGTGCGAGCTAGCTAGTGCTACGCTGGCAGCGAGGCTCGGGCTAGTCCTGAAGCGTAGGCCGACACAGCCGGGCCAGCAGTGCGAGGTTTCGTAGTAACGGGCGAACAAACGGCAGTGTTGTACGCGATGTAGCCGGCGTAGAAAGACCATCACATGCTCCCGAAAACCAATGTTACAACGTAGCATGTGCACAGTTTCGGCACATAGCGAAACATTTTTGTGCGCTGATCGTGGTTCTGTTCTTCTTGAACTCAATCCCGAGCTAGGCAGCCCCGTCACCTCGAGCACCTATTTCAGGCGAGCAAATTCACTTGCATTTCAGGTTTTCTTGATTCTCGTTGCTTCTTTCTGTAGTACTAGTTAATAGCCACGGCCCACCGCTACTATTAGCAAGAGCACCGTTTAGCGTTGAACGTTTTCTTACTCCTCTTTTTTTCCTATGTTCTAGCTCGTGCGCCAGCCTTAACAGCGCTTGTCGTTCTCTTAGCCGCCCCGTTTTTTTTTGTTCTCGCTTGTCCGCCAGCTTTAGTGTCGCTTGCCGTTCGCTAAGCCGCCTCGTACTGCCAGCCGCTGTTGCGCAGCGCCCTCCCCTCCTCGTCGACCCGCCCGCGTCTGCATCATCGAAATCGGTCGTCCACAGACGCGTTTATTGGCGCTCGCCTCATCTCTTCTTGCTCCTCCACGCTCCTTCTCCTCACACACGCTCCTTTCCCCTCCCCGCGCCCTTTCGTCTTGTCGTGGCACAACGTCTTTTCGCACCCAGTCCTCCTCTTTTCCGCCATATTCATCGACCGGGTTAGGACTCTTTAAACTCTCCGTTGGAATTAAATTAGTTTTGGACTGTCTCACATCCGCGAGATGTACTAATTGCTTGCCAGGTGATTTACTGCCATTGTGTACGTCCGCACCATCAGTTTCGGCGCGCTCAGCAAGGGGAGGTGTGGATTGGCGAGTTCCTCGTCAGACGCAGAGACGGCTCGCCTTTCCCCGCCATGGTGCGAGTTACCCTTCACCACCCTGGTTCGCGCTGTTCTTCCTAGCCTTGCTGCGCGCTACCTCTCATACCACATTCCCTCCATACCCATGTCCCTCCGCACCCACCCGTCTTCCTGCCCATGAACGGCGTGCTCAGTGAGATGAGCACTTTATGATTGAGTTTACCCCAGCTTGGACTGCTGCACGCATGCTCACGGGCTTGCGCTCACGCGCTTCTCGTAGACTTTTGCCTTGCCGTATTCTCATTTCCAACCCTCATCTGCCCTTCACTGGGCATGACGTGGCTGCTGCTGTCGGCGCCACTGTCAGAGGAGCAGCACGGCTTTGTGGAGATCTGACACGCGGCAGCCGACACGCGCTGCTGACCATCTGGATGTGAGCAAGATCGAGGCGGGCGAGCTGGAGATGGGCACAGCGAATCTGGCGTCACCGCGTGCGTCGAGGACAGCGTCATCCTGCTCGCGGTCAGTGCTCGCTTGCTCAGGATCTCTCAACGCTCCTCTGGTGGCCTTATCGATTCTTGACTCTCAATCATCGGTAGCTCCCCCAGATCCGTCGTCGTGCTGCCACCCTCCCATTCCCATCTTGTTATCGCTCTCCGTTCTCTCTCCCCCCCTCTCCCCCTCTCTCCCCCTCCACCCCGCATCCCCTCACCCTCCCAGCTGCCCCCCTTACCTGGAGTGTAGGTGGCGGCTCTGCTCCGCCCAGTGCGCCAGATCACCCTCAACCGCCTCCTCGCCTTCTCCTGCCAACCTTGCCTCCTCCGGATTCTGCTCAAGTATGTGCCATGGGTTGGGATGGCATGGCTGGCGTGGGGTGGCATGGGATGTCATGTGGTGGCATGTGGTGGCATGATGGGGGCACGAAACATGATGTGATGACATGGCGTGACGTGATGTGGTGGCCACAGGTGAGGTGTGTGGCATGATGCATGTAGGTGGCATGGCGAGGCATGTGGGGCATGGCGAGGCGAGGCCGGTAGAAGAATGCCTTAGCAACGCGAATTCCATGCCTGCAGCTGGCAGTGCAATTCAGTGTTTTCACTCCTGCCCAATCACATTTCTGCTTCTTCCTCCCGCTCTCTCCTCTCATCCCCCACTCTCTTGCCCCTGTGACCCCGCAACCTGTGTGCGTGGCATGGGAGCAGTGAGGAGAACGTGGTGAATCAGAGACCACGATGCTAGCGCGCATGGGGTATGAATGCATCGTCGCTGCCAACAGCCAGGATGCCATCTGCGGCCTGCAGGCACACTCCTTCGACATTGTGCTCATGGACGTGCAGGTGGGCAGTGCAATGCAATGCAGCAGCAGCAGCTGCTGCCTCACTGGCAGCAGCAGCAGCACCAGTGGCAGCAGCAGCATCACTGGCAGCAGCAGCCATTATTGTCCCCCCCAGCTTCTGCCGCTCCTCCCTTCCTTACCTTCCCTTTCCGCTCCCGCCCCTCCCTCTGCTTTCCCCTCCACCTCCCCCCCCAAAACCACCCTGTCGCTCATGATCAGGTGCTGGATGACTTGTATCTGAACCTCGTTGACAGGTTCTATTCAATCAATCAACTGAGATGAGCGGAATGAGGCACCAACACGGGCAATGAGACAATGGGGAGCATCGGGGGAGGCAGCGATGGGGGGAATGGGGGAGCATCGGGGGAGGCAGCGATGGGGGGAATAGGGAGCATCGGGGGAGGCAGCAATCGGGGGAATGGGGGAACATCGGGGGAGGCAGCGACGGGGGGAATGGGGCAGTAACTGGGGAGGCAGCATTGGGGGGGAAGGGGCAGTAGCTGGGGAGGCAGCATCAGGGGGGAAGGGGCAGTTGCTGGGGAGGCAGCATCGGGGGGAAAGGGGCAGTAGCTGGGGAGGCAGCATGAGGGGGGAAGGGGCAGTTGCTGGGGAGGCAGCATCGGGGGGAAAGGGGCAGTATCTGGGGAGGCAGCATTGGTGCCTATAGGACAGCTAAAGTGGAGGCATCAACGGGGGGAGGGAGCAGTAGGGGGGGCATGACAGGGGGATGAGGGAGCAGTGGGGCCAGCAGCGATGGGGGAAATGGGACGGGGGGGATACCAACGAGGGAGATGTGGGAGCAGAGTGGGTGGAAGTGCTGGGGGATGTGGAAGCAGAGGGGAAGGCAAGCAGTGATGGGCACTTTTTACTGCTATGATGCTGCACTGCTACTTGAGGCTCCCCGCCTCCCCCTGCTGTACGGTGTATAGGGAAGAGCATGTACCAAGTTTGTAGAAGCCGATAAGTTGCCGTTGCGGGCAAGGGACAAGGATGGGGAGTATTCGTAGGATTTATCCTGTAGTGCTGAGATGCACCTTTGATATTTTGTATTTAATTTGCGCCTGTGTGACTGTTGGGTAATTTTGATAGTATAAGACTGATTCACAACCTATAAAGCACATGCAATAGAGTACCATGCTGGTGGTAGACAAATGTGACAATACTACAAAATGCTGCCTATATTGAGTGGATGTTCTTATAACGGTTGTTGTTTCATTGTCACAAATTCTATATTACACAGTTTACAAGTATAACGTATTAACTATTGTGTTTTTTTACTTTACAAAATGTTACACAACCTTATACAGAAACGAGTTACCCCCTGTCGTGGCTACCCTAGTGGCGGAAAGGGGTGTTCGTAGCAAGATGTGGGAGTGCAAAAACTATGCGCGATGTATGCAGCAACTATCCCCCACCATTGCTCCACTTAATGTCACAAGTATGTTCCGTTTGGCATACTTTGAACTATGTTACAACATTCTTTTTGCATAGTTTTTTGGGGCCGAAATTTTGTGACGATTTCTCAGAGCTTCTTCTCGAGTGGCTTGCTCGCGGGATGCGTGGGAAAGGTGTGCGTGTCGCACGGATTCTCTCACTGAACCGTTCCAAACAAGAAGTAATCGTACTGGTTTGCGAAAATCATTTCGAAGAGCTGTAAGGTTCTACCAGTACGTCACAGCGGCCCTGTTCTACAGGCCTTTGTTTCCGTTGTCAGAATCCTCTTGGTTGCTTCCGTCGACAGTCAATTTAGGTTCGATAGCATGGTCAGACCGAAAATGAGTGTCATACCTGCTTGTTTCCATCCGAACCTAACGGAAACAGTGGCTGCAGAACAACCTGGTTTGTGGAAACGGAAACGTCGAGACGGAAGGTGTGTACCCAACTTCTCTCCCCAGCGATTTTTGTTTCTGTTTGGTTTCCAAGGGATACCTCCTTTTTACGGGAAGCAAAATGGCATCGAGATGGAAACAATTGTCCAGGTGCAACTAGTGCTCTACCCTCCAAACTGTCAAAGTTATATATTGTTGTAACTGCATGTAGTAGTAGCCTAGTGTAGTTATATAATTTCTGTTGGTGGTGCACCCCCAACTCTTGCCTATATTTTGTACCCTCAAGCCTATAGTGAAACCCCTTCCTTCTTTCTCGACATTCCACTCTCTCGCCACTCTCCTAGGTTCCTAACCTAGCCTAGCTTCTTGACATGGTGTCAGAGCTGGTTCTTTCCTAGAAACTTCTCTTTTTTTTAAAGTAACATGGGCCCGCCCTTCCTGCAGCGCGAAATGCGCTACTTTCTTCTTCGTCCCGTCGCGCCCTTCGCCCGTCACGTCCGTCGTCCCGCGGCCTCCGTCTGATTCGTCGCCCCGCGGCCCCCCATTTCGTCGCCCGCGGCCCCCGTTTCGTCGCCCCGCGCCCCCCCCCCCCCCCCCCCCCCCCGCGGCCCCCCATTTCGTCGCCCCGCGGCACCCGATTCGTCGCCCCGCGGCCCCCCCCCCCCCCCCCCCCCCCCCCCCCCCCCCCCCGTTTCGTCGCTTGTCCGTCGCGCCCCCGCATCGCCCTGTCAGTCGCACGCACCCCGTGCGCCCTGCCTGCCCGTCGCCCTGCCCGTCGATCCGCGCCAGCGCCAGCACCTGCGACTACCGCCAGCGCCAGCGCGGAACGCAAGCGCCAGCGCCAGTGCGGACGCTCGCGCCATCAGCTCCGTACCCCGCCCCCCTCCTTACATTCCGCGGCTTTTGCCGTGGGGGGGGGGAGGGGGGAGGGAGATGATGGGGTGGCGGGGGTGGTGATGAGAGGGTGGCGGGGGTGGTGATAGTAAAGTTGACAGGAGTGTGAGGGTGAGCAATGAGGGGATGGCAAGTTCAGGGAGTGAGGTTAAAGGGGGTTGAGTTGAGTTGAGTTCTGAAGGTTCTTAAGAGGGTCCGCCGCTCCTGGCCCCCCACCTTCTGAAGGTTTTTAAGAGGGTCCGCCGCTCCTGGCCCCCCACCTTCTCTCCTTTTCCCTCACTCCTCCCCAACCCCCCTTTGTAAAAGGAGGTTCGTAAGCGGGTCCGCCGGTCCTGGCCCCCCACCTCCTCTCCTCATCTCTCTCTCTCTTCCCTCCTCCCTTAGTACTCCTCTCCTCATCCCTCTCTCTCTTCCCTCCTCCCTTAGTACTCCTCTCCTCTCCTCTCTCCTTCTCTCGTCTCCTCCTCCTCTCATTCCTCTCTGCCGGCTTACGCTGCGCCTGGTGTACCCTTGTAGGTTGTATTTTGCACTTTGCTATTCCTGCATGCAGTTAAGGGGGGATGTCAAAGTTATATATTGTTGTAACTGCATGTAGTAGTAGCCTAGTGTAGTTATATAATTTCTGTTGGTGGTGCACCCCCAACTCTTGCCTATACGGTATTTTGTACCCTCAAGCCTATAGTGAAACCCCTTCCTTCTTTCTCGACATTCCACTCTCTCGCCACTCTCCTAGGTTCCTAACCTAGCCTAGCTTCTTGACACAAACTACAGAAATTCCGTCATCAAACCCCCTCCTATTTTTAGGCGCTGATGGGTTGAAGCGAAATTCAAGATATGTAACATACCTAGGGATCGGACTCCACGGACGTTTTTTGTAAAAAAAAAAACACTATTCAGAAACGTAGACTTTAAACATGTAAATCTAAAGAGAAACTACACCCCCCGCCTTTACGCGAAAGATGGCTGACACCAGCGTATGGGCAGGAAGAGATTTCCTACACAACCAGGTGAGCTTTCGAGGTTTGGAGAGTGTGACGAGTCTAGAGGAAAGCTGAAAGTGGTTTCCCGTGTTTCCGTTTCCACGCCGTGCCCGTTTGCCTGTAGAACAGGGCCAGCATCTACCCCTAGTCAGAAAAGAGGTATGGAAAAGAGAGCGATGAAGAAGGGAAGTATAGAAGCCAAGGGAGCACTGCAAACACAGGAAAAAAAAAACAAGAGGCGACGATGTCGTCATAGGGTTGCGAAGCTTTTTGCATTATCATCATATATTATACAACTTCTATCACTATGGATCTCGTTTTGCATGACTACCTAACTACTTATACAGAGTATGTAACTCTAGGATGAGGTTTACAAAAGTTTTCCTGTTTGGTTTCGGAGGTTCGATCGCATCAAGGATCGGTCTTCAAACCATCCGATTCGGCACTACCACCTTCACCACTTTGCTAATTTCGACGCCCGATTAGGGAAAACAATTCTATTCATTTTGTTACTTATCGATGAAAGACATACCTACCTAGGGTTTCGTAAATCCTTTTCTGCTTGGTTTCGTTCTGGTTCAACTTCTCCAAGCTACTCCAATGATTCCCCCGACTCCTGTTCTCAGCTACTACTACCTAGGTGAGCCTTCTAAACTTAAGTTGTTAGTAGATACATCTGTCTTAACCATTATCATCTGTTTCAGTCGTTTAGACTTAGCAACTAGGCGTTTTACTGCTGGACTTAATCAATTTCGACGACCACCCAGGTCGTTCTTTCTTTAGAGCCTGCAATGCCAGTTTTTCGTCTCACTTTCACAACTTCTAGAATTGTCGCATAATTACTTTATCCATTTCGTTCTAGTTTCATTCCGTGCTCACATTTCTTTTCTCAATTCTTTGGCGCTTTGGAAATACTTTACCTATTCTTTGTACATAATCCTGCATCTGGTTCTTATGTTGTTTCATCATGACTTCCATTCGTTTAGTGCATCATTCCTTCCTCGTATTTGCACATTTTTCTTCCACCTTTTTCTCTTCGGTTTAGGCTCTTTTGAAACCGTAGTTATGAATAGTCTCTCTCTCTCTCTCTCTCTCTCTATCTCGTCTCTTTCTCTTTGTTCTCTCTCTCTCATCTCTCTCTCTCTCTCTCTCTCTCTCTCTCTCTCTCTCTCTCTCTCTCTCTCTCTCTCTCTCTCTCTCTCTCTAATGGTCCGTATATTGATAAGCCAGAAGGGTACACACATGCAATGAGAGACAGCAGGTACTAACATGCAAGGTAGCCTAGACTTTCCAACCCCACTAAGCCACCTAGAGCTCCAGAAGAGGCTCTAGGACGGTAAAGCAGTCCCCTAGGTACAATTCTTGCCCTATCCCTCCTACAGGCGGGTTCTCTGCAGCTGCCGCCTCTCCTAACTTGATCATGAGTCCCACGGATTGGGCCCTCTGCAGTGCAACCGACCACCTCTGCCTGAACTGGTGCAGAAACTTAGCGGCATGATAGGATTTGGAGTCGGCGTTGAAGTATCGCCGAGCCGCCGTGTCTGCAAGGAGTTTCAGGAACACAGGGACCTCCGCACAAGGGCAGCCGTAGGTCTCTACGGCGAGGGGGAAGAAGCCCACTGTCTCTGGCAGGTTCTCATAGTGCTTGATCTTCTTATCCGCCTGCTCCCGGGCCGCCCATCCCCTGCCTTTCTTGGCCTCCGGGTCCCTGGTACTAATAGGGTCTGTAACTGTCACATCACACACCCAAACTGCCCCACTG